GGAGCCTCGCGGAGTGATCCAACTGTGCTTCAACATAATATTACCGTATTGTGTGTGTATAACCTCTTTTTAAGTTTTGTGGATATTATACATTGTTATGCTGAGGATATGTCAACTGGAAATGCCTTTTGGTTAAACTGTCAGCAAGGAATTTGCACTTGCACAGTTTAATTTTTATATAACTTTAATGCACATAAAAGCTGCTTGTTTAAGAGAAAATACATTGATGGGTTTGTTTGCTTTTTTGCACTAATAAAGTTGTGGAGCTGTAAAGTATTTTGTCTTGTGTCAGTTATATCCTCGGTTATATCGTTATCACAAATTTTCAAATGTATGTTGTGATAAATATTTTTGGTCATATCGCCCTGCTTTACTACAAACAACAAAAAAAATCATCCAAATGTGTAACATGACACCTAACCTAGCCTTTGAAGTCCTGCACCGTCCCACAGTACACCCAGCTGACCACAAACAGGCATACATAAACTGAAATATCATGAAAGGGTTAACACACGATTACATGAATAACATCCTTGTTACTACTCACCAGTTCTTGGTTGGTAGAGTTGGAGTCGTCTCCAGGAAAGGGGATGTAGATGGCTAAGGCCACACAGTTGGCAAAAATAGACAGCAGTATAAAGATATCAAAGGGCCTGAAAGGAGGCGGTTAAGGAACACGGTAAGTAAGACCACTAAAAGTATTTTATATCATACTAATAGATTAGGATAACTGTCATTATCCTGTTAACAGTTTTTTGGGTTTTTTGATTTTTATTTTTATTTATTTTTTTTTTTTTTGGGGGGGGGGGGGGGGGGTATATGCACATTTGTAAAAAGTTATAGAAATGTAGCTAATGATAAAATGTCCTTATTTCGCAGAAACTTGCATATAACCATTGTTTTTCTAATCCATCCCCCCATCACCCAACTGGCAGTTTAGCTACTGACTCATCTCCATGGACCCTCCCTTCTAATTACAAGTTCAGAATTTGGGATCAGCATCCAATTTCAGATAATGCAACTGAGTTATTTATCTCACTGACAGATTCATTTATACTTTCATTCACTCGCTGCTCTGTGACACAATCCATCCACACAAAGACACCAAATGCACTGAGACACCCAGACGCCTGCTGGTCCCTGGGCTAAAAGATACTTCCACTCCACCAGACTGATGCAGGCTCTGCGGATTGGATTGTTGAGGGTGAGGCAGAAAAGGGCTCTGGGCGGTCTGCCGCTGGTGGATCCTCCCTGCTTTTTGCTTTTGGCATACTGCTGCCTCTTCTTCTGTGCCAGTGAGCCCACAGGAGCTGGCGCAGAAGTGGTACAAACTGGGGGACGTGAACTTATGTTGGGCTTTTCAGGATCGCCCTGCGCTTGCCGGGCTGCGCTAATGGCGGCATGCCAAGCGAAGACCGGGCTGACTCCGGGTGCAGCTCCACCGGGGCCCTGAATGGAGTTGTTGGCCCCGAGGAGGCCATGAGCGGAGCCGACGGGCTTGCCGGTGCTAGCTGGAGGATGAAGGGACTGTGATGGATGGAGCTGGTGCAGATGGGTGTTTCCTTCTGACCAGGGAGCTGAGGTGTCAGTTGGGGGAGTGGTCCTTCTGTTGCTGGCATACTGTGCCCCTGGAGAGAGCGAGTGGGAAACAAGGATAATATTTTGAGATTGAAGTTATAAACAAAAACACCTGAACTCGTGTGTCATTGGAGGCATTGCAGAAAAGCTGCAACATTCCAAAATCCAATTTCTTCCACATTTTTACAATTTTAGGCTCATATCTGCCAGCTAGTAAGAATACAGATGATATACTCACTTTGAATCCCTATGCAAAAAGTAACATATCCAAAATCTACACTAACATTCAGAGTATTCATCTACGCTCATGGGGCAAAACAAAGGCTCTAGAAAAATTGCCTAAAATGAGTTCTTAATCTACACTATTCAAATGATAAACTTGCAGAAATATATCCTAATATTAGCTCAACGTGTTTACACTTCCATCAAGAACCAGCCACTCCAGCTCACATGTTTTGCCACAGCCAATCATTGAACAGTTTTCGGAAGAATATTTTTTGAGGCCCTGACATTCTTGTGTAGACAAAACACAGTAGCATCTCCATATATCTCCATCTTGTGGCTCTCCTGCCTTTGGAGGTCACGATTTCCGCAGCACCAGCAAAGACAATTGTGTTTGCTCCTTTAACATCTCACAGATGTATTTTCTTGATTGTCAAAAAGACAAGACTCCATCCTTTAAAATCTGGGTTAGAGAAATGCTTTCTATGCTGTGTTAGAAAAACTGAGGTACAGTAGAGCCAACTCTCTGGAAAGATTCAGAACCACCTGGCTGCCTTTCACTGAATGGCTATCATAATGCCGCCGTTTTTTGTCTTGTTAATGTACATAATAATGGCACACTCATGAACTGCACTCAAAAAAATAACTCTTTGAATGAACATAAAAAAATCATGGAAAGAATTTCCACATAATTAAATTGCTTTATTTTAGCATTATGCAATTCTGTTATTCCAACTTAATGTACTTGAGTTGGACTAACTTGATTAATTAATGATGAATCAACTGTTTTACTACAGTTGTGTCCAACTTATTTTAATTGATTTGATCCAACCCATGCAAATTACGTTAGTGCAACAAAACCTGCTTATTCGTAATAGAAATCCATTTATTTTAAGTTCATTTAAAGAGTTATTTTTTTGGAGTGTTCAACAAAGTCTAGAGTCTGGTTAACATAAAATGTTAATGGATTTATAATAACTTGCACTCCATCCATCCTCTTATCTTTACCAGGGTTGCAGTGAGGCTGGGACCTATCCCAGTGATAGGGTGGGAGTCAGAATACTGGACAGGCCACCAGTCTATCACAGAGAGACAGACAACCATTTGCCCTCATGTTCACAGATATTTTAGAAACACCAATTAACTTAACCCTAATTACTGCATGACTTTAACTGTGGCAGGAAACCAGAGCACCCAGAGAGAACCCACTGCAAACTTGGCCAGATTGCAGATTTGAACCCAAGACCTTCTTGCTGCGAGGCAACAGTGCTAACCACTGTGCCACCGAGCTGTCAATCTAGACTTCAAAAACATAGGGAAACTATGATTACAAGGCTTTATATAGAATTTTAAAAGCCGCAATAAATAGCTGAGGCATATACGTAGTGTGTGTATGGCTGTCTGTCTCTTCTAACCTCAGTGATTTTCCTGTGGTTTGAACTCTTGTGTGATCTTGTGAATTTTGTGAATCCAGGCAACTAACCACTCTTACTAGATTGTATCCTGTCATCTCAACAAGAATAAATTAAGTTGCTGGATTTCATGCAGATCCTACATGATTTAATTACGTTCACCACAGAAACATGAAATTATTTTGTTCACATTACAAGTTTGAATTTTGTAAATTTAACAACCACCCAATTTCATTTTTTTGAGTGTGATGGTGAGTTAAGGAGATCGAGTCCCCCATCCCTATTATGTATACTGTTTATGTTATTATATCAAATTGGGGGTTTTTTCTGTCTTGTACCCGTAACCTTAGGGATGGATGTGGGGAACATTACATGGTTTTAGAAAATTATAAATACAATTTGTGCCAATATGTCTCTGATATATTGGCTATTTTAGCTATTAGTCCATATATTGGCAGATACATTTATAATGGCTGATAAATTAGAGTATAAGAGTGAACAAGCGATGGGAAAAATACCCTTCAGCCATGTTATTAGCGTGGATGTTGTATTTTTTGCCCATCAGAAAGCACTCTGCATTTTCACTGTTGGCAAAGTGATGGAAGTCTACAAAAAAGATCAGCTGGTCACATAAAGGTGTAATCTACAACCTGCAGTGACAATAAAATAAGATTACTTTTAAAGAATATTGTCATGATAGGACTCATAAATAATACCCATAGTCTTAGTCTTGGTCTTAAAAATCAGTCAGTCTTTAAAGTGCTTTTCAAACAAGGACATCACCATGCTTTCCCAATGAATGAGGTGACTGAAGATAACTGCTAGAATTTCACTTCAGCTTTTTGCAAAACTCTACTAGGAGCCTAATGGCAGTGGACATACATATATAATGTCGACAACATTATCACTACTTCACATTTAAACTTGCCTTGTACAATTACTTGTTTAACATGCAATTAACTGTCCTTTAAGAACCCATCCAGAGATAAAATGGGCAGAAAAATAAGAAGAGGTGATTATGGTGATTATGATTATGGTGATGACGGGCTTGAAAGGAGCCCAGAAAAGACAGCTATAGAAAGAGAAAGCAGAACAGCCTGCATGAATGGGAGAGACAGAGAGAGTCATTAAAATCAATGCAGACCATGAGCTAAAAAGTCAGTGCCCTTGACACAGTCGCACACTGCAACTCTATAGCACAGCCACATCGGGGAGTGTTGTCAGCTATAGACTGACCGTGTCATCCAGCAAAAACAGCTCCAACACACAACTAAGCAAATAAAGAAAAAGAAAGAAAAAAAATGAGAAATCTATTTGTGTGGGTCATGTGCAATATGAGAGAGAGGCACAAAATCTGAGAAGAATAAAGCTTTTCTTTTAAAAGCTAATGATTAGACAAAGTTGGTTCCTTTATCAGATTTAAGGCAAGCTCCTTAATTTTATTACTTTTCATCAATACTCTGTGTTCGTCTGTGCAAAATCATAGTCACCATGACTCGACGCTCACGGTGTAGTTAAAACATGATAGTTTATTATGCGGGGAAGTCTATTCGAAACATCACTTCACTTTAATTGCGCTTGATGTCAGCGCGATCGCAGGTGAGAGGTGCATTCAAAACATTTCTGCACCACCCTTCCTCATACAGCGATACACCACCGCCACAGGTGCAGCAGAACAAGTGCACGCTGCTAGTTAATAATAGTCACAGCCTGTCCGACATGTAAAAGGAATTAACCCAGCGCTTCTGCTGGATGTCGCACATCTGTCACAAGATGCTGCAAAACAGCTGTTGACTCTGTTGCTGTGGTCGAGTTTTGCTGCTTTTGTTTGGACAGCTTCTAAACTCTAAAAGAAAAACTTAGAAGAGAAGGAATTTACTTTAAAAAGTTAATTTAGCGTCTCGCAGCTTGTTCTGGAGAGCGAATATATTCAAAGCATCCTGTCACATGGTTTCAGAATGACCGTTATAGTCAACCATTTTTCGGAGAACTAGCCTCAACTCGCTTCCCAGCGGATCTGATTACTGATGTTATCACAATAATGTAGCCTACAAGCGCTTACAGTGTTAATACACAATCCCTGCACTGGAATAAGTTGAGGAGGGGAAAAATATGTCAGCAGCAGCCACGACTCAGTGGATATAATCACACGGATTAATCAGACATCCAGAGAATAAACCAAACGAGCGCTCTCGCCCCCTCTCCCTCTCTCTCTGCCGCGCTCCAACTCTCCTCCTGCGCTTCCACACGCACGTTTTGGGTTTTGTTTTTTTTTTACCTTCAGACTGTTCATCTGCTTCTTGCATCCTCGAATCCACATCGAAAAGATCCGTTTTAAATCCAACTCATCGTTGGAAAAACCGTCCGAAGGTGTCGAAGGCGCGAAACCTGAACAGAGCCTTTAACCTGAATCATAAAATGTTTTCCGAGCGCAGACCCTGAGAGGAGCGCCAAACATTTTCGCCACATCCGGGTGCCTGCCTGCAGATTCACGGCGTATCCGAGAGGACGCGCTGGCAGGGGCAGTCAATCCAGTGCTGTCAATTATCCTCTCTGTGGCTGGGGACGGACTGACACAAGTTGGAGCAATCGCGTGGGCTCCACTGTGCTGAAATCACGCGCGCCCACCAACTGGAAATGCACCTGTTGCCGCCTATTGGGAAACTTGCAAAGAGCGAATAAGATCATCTCAACGTAAACATTAAAATGTTTTTAACTCTAGACGCCAGATGTTGCTTTTAAAAAAACCCTCTAAAAACAAATCAGCTGACTGGAGAATTAAGTCGTGCGATGACATCAGAGAGCAACGAAGACAGGGAGAAATGTATATCTATCTCACTATATATATTGTATGATCCTAAATTAAAAACTGCTGCAAGGCTGCAAATAAAGGTCGTTTAAAGTACAGCCGTGTACCTCGGACTGTCTCTGCTTTAAAACTATCCACGGGTTTCAAAACCTCCGAATCTGTTTATTCTTTACGATTCGGTTAAGTGCTGTGATGAAGGTCATGAGACACGTGACTACGCAAAAGAAACCAGTCGGAACAGTGATAAATCTGCTAGAAACAAATGGTGACAACTATACTTTCCCTTAAGAGGGAAATTTCTGTATTTGAGGATGAATACAGATACCTATCCTATCCATATGAAGAGTTAAACGCTCGGACTTACCCCGCGGGGGTCTTGCCCTTATGATTAACGGCATTAGATCACCTGGCTCTTCTCGGGGGCCTCATTGCGCTTTTTTCTGTCCTCTCTCCGCGAAGATTTCAGAGGAAATGGGTTGTTAGAGCGGTGCTGGAAGGTTACCCGTGATTGGATTACCTGAGCCTGAGGGATAAAGTTTCACGGTGGCGCGTAATCCTCAGATTATAATCCTGCTCCACTGTTCCATAAACTGCAGGTGAGGGAGGCAGATGCAGCTCGGTCCGGACAGCAATCCTGCACAATCCCACTATGCACGCAATGGGTTTAAAGTATTATGTCCAAATAATTACAATAAGCACAAAGAGGTCACGCCAGGACACAGGGTCGTTTTAACTTTTCACTATCAGTCTGCCATTTCGAGCAAAGTTAGGATTTAACGTGACTATAGATGAGTGCGATTTCAAATAAAGAACATAAACTAAAGTAGACATAAAGTGTCACAGAGGTTCCGAATTAAAACACACAGCTATAAATATCGTTTTTCTTTAATGGGTTTTCCTCAAACAGGTTTTACTATTTGGAAATTATATCCTATCGTAAATATCTCATCATGCCACGATTATCATAAGTTATTATTATTATTATTATTATTATTATTATTATTATTATTATTATTATTATTATTATTAGCAGTAGTAGTAGTAGTAGTAGTATTTGATCGACTTTGAAGCTCAAAAGAGTCACCAGATTTTTTTTTCCTACAAACATTTTGTATTTAAGCACTCTCTAGCTCTAGCTAAATGCGACTGACCAGAATTACAGTTCGAATTAATATGCGGAAAAATCAGTGGCTCGGAAACTTTTTTAAAGAGCCGTGGTTTCCGGGGACAGCGGAAGTTATATGTGTCTGCTGAATTCCGTCCGTGCGGGAGCAACAATCATATCCAAAATGGAGACCGTAAATGCTGGACATATGATGAGCTTAGCTGCTCTACAGAGGCAGGATCCATACATAAACAAATTGCTCGATGTTACCGGCCAGGTGGCTCTATATAACTTCAACTCCAAGGCGAATGAGTGGGTAAGTTTGTAAGTAACGTGACTTTGCGGAAAGCCGTCAAAGCTATTTGACTTAGCATGCTAGCTGTTCTGTATAAACACAAAAATACAAAGAATTTTTTTAATATTTGCGGAAGTGAACTTTATCCAGGTAATGCTTACACACGTTGTGTTTTGCCACCACTGTCATTTTGATAATTTTTTATTTATTTATTTTTTAAATATCAATAAGCGTAATCTTTTATGCGCTAGCTATAGTTGTGCTAACAGCGTCCTTTGCTATTATTCAGCATGTTTATCGTTTCTGACTCACACCTTCACTTTTTATTTTACAGGAGAAGACTGAAATCGAGGGCACCCTGTTTGTTTATGCAAGGTAAGCACGTGAGGCTTTTAAAGTAATGTAACGCGTTGACCGCGAGGGCTTGTTTACTTGTTCTTGCGTTTCACGCGCTGTCATTTGACGTGTTCTACGCACGTGTGCAGGCCTCAGTAATTGTAAACAAACACGAATTAGATTGGGTGTGATTTTTATCCGCTCACAGAACGAAAATCACACCCTGTTTAAACAGGAAAATAATAAGTAAAAGTTTTAGTAATTAATTCCACTTGAAATGTAAAAACTTGTTTGATAAACAGCTTTAACACGCATCGTTGTTTTGAGGGCTGTTCATATATTCATTTGAAAATAACGAAATGTTAGCAACCGATTTAATTGGTTATTGGTTAATATGAATATCTTTCACAAAATTGAGAATTATGTAATTCTCTGAAATTCTCATTTACAATATACGAGAATCCTCCAACCTACCGCCAAGCCTGAGGTCATGGTTCTCAGCTAGAAAAGGGTGGAGTGCTCCCTCCAGGTAAGGGATTATTTGCTGTTTGGATCTTGTACACAATTGAGGGGAGCGTGAAATTGACGGACTAATCGGGGCCACATCTGCAGCGATGCAGATGGTTTACAGATCAGCAGTGGTAAAGAAAGAGCAGAGTCCTAAAGGGAAACTTTCTATCTCACATCCCTACCTTCAGCCATTATCAGGAGCACTGGGTAGTGATCAAAGACAATGAGATCTGTGCCAGTTTAGGCGACCACATACCACATGGCCAGAGAGCAGCAGCCAGGGTTTGAAAAATGGGATGAAGAGGACAAACTGATCTGAAAATCAGTGAACTTTTTTTTTCTAAATGTGTTAATTCTTTGTCATAAAAAATCATTCATGGATGACTAAACTAATCGACACAGAGATATGTTATATCAGTGAGGTGATGTTTTATGTTTTTTGTCCCTGAAAGGTCTGCTTCCCCTCACCATGGCTTCACCATCATGAATCGACTGAGCACGGAGAACCTCGTAGAGCCAATCAATAAAGACCTGGAGTTTCAGCTACAGGATCCATTCTTGCTCTACAGAAATGGCAACTGTGAGTGTTTTGTAGTCCAGTTACACAGAAACTGCAGATGTCATGTGCAGGAGATTCATATTTCTGTGTATGCTTGGACTGAAATCAGATATGCTGCAGTACTTCACAGCTTCTCAAAGTTTGAGGGAACAAAAAAAGACCACCATCCCAGAATATCAGCCAATGTTTCTCAGTTACATAATATTTCTCTAGTACAATGTTTCTCCCATAATATAGTGCTGTATCACAAAAGGTAGTGTCGAAGAGAATTTACCATAGCTTTGAAAGGCTCCGCTTTAGACAAAAAGAGATGATAATTTGGGCAAGAAAAATCACAGATTAACTGAAAAAAGTAAATATCCAAACAGACAGTAAACTTTTGACCTTTATCTAAATGTTACCGTACTCTTAGTTTTTATTTCATGAACTTTAGAAAAAAATTAAAAATGTTGTATTCAAAGAATTTCTGCGTTTCTTTATCTATAGATTTTGTGTTAAGTTTGTTTGCTGTATTGGTTTTATTAAATTTTTCCTGCTCAAAAGCAATAATGCCAGAACACATTAGTACCTTTGAAAATGCTGGACAGACACTTTCCCAGTGTTCTCTGGAACAGCTCTTCTCCCTTTTGCTTGAAGTCCTTCTTGTATCTTGGAGAATCAAGGAGGAAGACCTTGTCATTCATGGCCTCAGACTGGTCTGTCAAACCACACAGTATTCAGCTTTGTGTGGCCACAGTTTTCATTCTGTATTGGGCCAACAAACAAAAAAACTTTGGGCTCTAAGGGGTGAATTAGGCTTCTATTATATAAATATTTTTATGCCCGTTGCGGTTTTTCCTGATGGCTTATTCCAGTGAAATCGTTTAGCGTTATGAGGAGAGTTCAGCAGGGAGTAGGATCAGATGAAAAGGCTGGAAATAAATCCTCAAATCCTCAGAAAGTAACTGACAGTGCTCCCACCGAGGTAATCTATCAAAAGTCTGAACAGAAGTTTCATTAAGGCAATGAACAAGGAGTTGGATTGTTTTCCCATTTGTTTGCTAATGAGAAAAAATAACATGGCCAGGCTCAGCGTCAGAGTGGACTGCTCCCCTTTAGGACTCGGCTTGCCTATCAGCCTGCCTGGTATGGAAGACATGATGTAATGTTTTTGCTGATATCCAAGTCAGGAGCTTTTCCAGGTGCTTCACAGGAGTCCGAGTGCTGCTGTTTTCATTTTAATTCCTCAAAGTGTGTTAGGTTGCAGGCAGATAAAGTGGTTGAAGGTGTTCCTCAGGCTGTGAAGATGCTCGTCTGACAGCTGATGGTCACTGTAAGGCGGGTCAGAGCAAACGGTCTTTGATCATTTGTTCCACACGAAGGTTTCCACTGCCCATTTGATCTTTTCAGTAAGATAAGTTACGGTCTGAGGAGCCTTTGTTTGTTCTCTGCCTGAAGTCTGTTTTGCTGTTTGTGATTGCTCTCTAGGTAGAGTTCAGGTTTGTGAGAGAAAGTGAGAGCAGGATGTAAATGATGCTCCTGAGACTCCTCTCTCCAATTAAAAATAATGAAGGCTGATATTGCTGAAAGATGATTGTTTGAAGAGCATAGAGTCGAACACGGAGAGGATGGATTCTTCAGAGGGATGTTAATGCTGCTCAAAGTGTGTTTGAAATCTCTTCTGCAGGCTGATGCGTGCGCTCAAAGTTTCAGATGTCTGTTGCTGAGGTGTGTACTTGGATTTGTGCATACACCTGTTTACAACACTTTGTGTTCCCATTGGTAGCAGGGGATGCTCCAGGGAGGCAAGCACTTGGGTTGCTAGGTTACCTCAGGCTTTAGAGGGAACTTGAATACACCAGTGTTTCATCACATAGACACACACAAAGCATGATCAGCTTCATATAAAATTATTGTTTTTCATCAGAAACTGCAAATGTGCAGTTTGCTTGTTTTCCGTTTGGTGTCGGTGAATGCTGTGTTAGCTCTCCACAGATGAACTTCTCCTTTTTGTGTCTGATTGTTTTGTAACTTCACCGCTTTGGACTGTCAGATTCTCATTGATCCTAAGGTCCACTAATGTGCAGTCATGTACAGTGCTCATTTAGTGTTGTTTTGAGTGTTTTCTTGGATGGCTCAATTATGTTAAGTCACAAAGCTGACTAAATTAATAATTTTAAAAAGACTTAAAAATCATATAGTTACTTTAGCTGTATTTATGAAGGGTTGGGTTTGTTTTAAAGAGTTTTGTATAAACTGGTGTCTGCTGTCAGTGTTATTAAATGCATTATTTGTGTCTGTGTTTTTAACAGTGGGTATCTATAGTATTTGGTTCTATGACAAGAAGGATTGTCAACGCATCGCTCAGCTCATGGTCAAGTAAGTAGCCAGACATTTGATGGATGAAGTGGATGAAATTGGGCAAGGCTTTACGTTTGTCTGGTTTTTCCACTTATCAAGTTTGATTTGTACTTCCAAATTGAATTACCATGTGTACTTTCTAGAAATGTGGAGGTCTGTTATGTTCACTAAATGCAGGGTTAAAGAAACTCCGCATATAAGATGCCATAAAGTTGATGCAGTGTAAAGAGGTTTTAATACAGAATAATTCAAATTAAACAAAAATATAGGAGCCCCATGAAAAGCAAATCAGACCATGAACCAACCAT